AAGCTTTGACAGAGTCACTGTCAAGCTGCCGGAAACTACGAAAGTCACCCAAAACTCTTCACCATCCTTCTCCCTCTTCATCAAACCTCCTTAGAATCTCTCTCCCTCTCCATTAGAACCTCTGTACCTCATAACTAACCCACAGATCTCTCTCCTAAAGTGCTAAACTCATGATAATTTTTGCTCCCATGCCATAAGTCACTTATGACAAGCTAGAATATTTATCTGTAATTTGTTGTCATTTTCATTGGTGAAGGTAACCAAGGAGTTTCCTAAGGCATCATCACCCTTTCGAGACATCCTTGGGGCTTGATCTTCGAACTCAGACACAAGGGGACACTTGCATCAGATTGCTCTTTACAGCAGCCCAGCCCACTTGCTGCCAGAAGAAAAAAAGCCCCTACAAGGAGTTTGTTTTATTTTATTTTAATTCTCAAGAACTCTTTAGGAGTTTGCTATATTTTGTATTTTAATTTTCAGCTGTGATATGGATTTGCCGTTTCTACCGTTGCACAGTGGATCTGTATTATTAGTTTGAGTACAGACGTTGCTGAATAAGAGGTTTGAGTATTTGTTGGTTTTGATGTAATTCTCTCCAGATCAAATCAACATGTTTGGTCACTAAAGATATTGTACCAATTTCAGTACTTTTTGTGGCTTTGTACTTGTTCAATTTCATCAATAAATACTATCAATTTTTCTATATATAAAAAAGGCTATAATTGTGTCCGCATATAAAGCAAGTTCTCATTGTAGAAAACGCAATTTATATGGACATACTTTATATTCACTTCTCATTTATTTATTATGCAATTATTCCCTCAAAATTAGGTCATTTGACCGCTTCCTCATGTTACATAATTGTGTATGCAGCGAGTTGGTTTGCTACACTCTTAGAGCTCGTTTGAGAATAACTCTAGAGAGGTAAATAATCACTTTTATGGAGAAGCGCATTGGGGGTGCTTCTTCTCAGAATAACTTAAAATCATTTTAGTGATTTTAGGCCCCATTTGGTTCACAGAATGGATTTGAGGAGAAATTACTTTCCATGTCATTTCCTAAGGAATGAGAATGAAGGATTCCTTTCCCACATTTGGTAATGTTGGGAAAGTAACCGGAAGATTTCATTTTGTTTCATTTCCCATGTTTGTTTTGAGTATGAATGGAAAACAAAGTTTGTATAATTTTTTAATTATACCAATGTTCAATCAAATAAAAAAAGAATGCATTTAATGATACGTTGTAATTCTAAATTGTTCATAGGGGCAAAATAGTCATGAAAATTGTGCATTGAATGTTGGCTCATATTCCCAAACTTTCCCATGAGAAGGGAAAACAAAACCCAAGTTAAGAGAAGGACTTCACTTTCTCCCCTACTTTCTCATGTGTTAGGCAACCATTTTCCATGTCTAGACTTACCAAATATGGGAAAGCAATTGAATTCCCATTCCCAAGCCTCTTTTCCCATGAACCAAATGGGGCCTTATGGATAAGTACACGGAAGGTGCTTCTTCTCATAAGTGATCCAGAATCACTCCCAAACAAACCCTTATTTTCATTGACAGTTTCAATTCTAATATCAAAATAACAAAAATTAATTCACTAAATGATCACAAGAAGCATTGACCCAATACTAACTAAATATCATTATCACACCGTACCACTAGACTAGACATACTTTCTAGAAAAATTTAAAGACCAGTCCTTGTCTTATGACCACACTCCTTCGCATGCTGATCACGTGTCCACACCTCATGTATTTTCCTAGTTATTAATTTTTACGAGAAAAACGTTATATACACTCGTAGTATGTAAGAATCTTCCGTTGGTAGCAATTTCGTTAGGATGTTAGGAAGAATTTATGTACCAAAATAGGATTTGGGTCTAGCCCAATGGGCTTTTAGATTCTAAAAATCATATAATTTAGAGAGCAGCCTGCCTCGTGTTGTCTTTAGTCTTAGACCCATATAGTTTGTCCTTCTTCGATTGAAACAGTTAGGAGAAGATCAATATGCTGTGAGAGCCCAACTTCTCGTTTTTTGTTCTCATATTGAAGAAGGTTCTTTCTTTGATTTTTTATTTTATTTTTAATGTCATATTCATAATAGACAGGATCATGATCACTCACATGCCCAACAAGCAAAATGGTACAAAATGGGGTTATTTTTCTTGGTCCCCTTTATGCATCCTCTTTGAATAATATTTTTGGCCACATGGCATGGGCCTAGTTTACAATTTTCCTGCCGATAACGGTCATTGTTCATGTGCCCTTCTTGTTTCTGTGCTGATTTATAACAATGATTAAAAAAACAATTTTTAATTACGTAAAAAGGATAGTTAACTTGAAAAGACAAAAGAAAGAAGGGATAATTTTATTAATTGGACTTTTTCTTCTTAAGTAAAAAGTGTCGGTAAGAGTTTGTTAATGATTATAAGAAGAGTCCATGGTTTCTAACCTAGTGAAAAAGGGCATTGACTTGTAGACAAGATGTTTTAAGTTTGAATTCCTATGACATCTTGGTTGTGGTGTGAGAAACCCTCATTCCCTGTAGTTTAGACTATCGTATGTTAAAAAAAATAAAAATAAAAATCAATATCCTTTTCTTTTATGTTGATTAACAATCTCCAATGCAATTAGGTTAAATAAGTTATACCATTAGTTAGGATAAATATATTTATATTTGAAATTCCATGAAGAACTAGTAATCCCATGTAGTCTGTTAGAAGAAAATCTGTGATTTGAACCATGACCAACAAAATAAAATCATATAATTAACACTAGATGATGAAATCATAGATCAAAATAAATAATTGAAAGCCACAATTTCCCCACCACATCAATCACAGGACCCACACACAAGTGGGGCTGGCAAATTCTTAGTAAACTTGACAGACCAACCATGGAATAAACCCCACAACTTGTTGGGTCCTTCACTCATGAATTGATGCATCAACAAAAAGGTAAATACAAAACAAAAAATAAAAAACCAGCCTAATTTTAATGGAAAAAAAAACAGATATATATAAATGGCACCAAGACAAAGAGAAGAAAAAGTAGGGAAATATGACGAGCACAAAATAAAAAATAAAAAATAAATGAAAAAAGATAACTAAAGCAATGGACGCGGTGATCCCTGCTTATTGGAACTGTACTAGTGGTGGATTCCTAGTCCGCTAGTTGTATTCCATTACAACAAGGTCATGCTCACTGTCATTCATACGAATCCGATTCGATTGATTTCATCTTTCAAATCATTGCTTTATTTGATTGGTTTTTTTATTTATTTAAAAAAACTATATAAGGAGGGAGTTTCTTTCACACATATTATCGCGGTACCACGAGAGTTCAAATGGAAGACAACTAGGTTATACCTGTTGGCTTTATTTATTATTTTTAATTCAATACAAAAGTGATTTAATCACACACAAACAGGGACTCTAATATGCTTTGGTTTAGTGCTTATATATTTAGTTTTGCCAAATCCCCACGCCAACATGGTCTTGCGTTTTTGCTTTGTTTATTTGTTCATAGTTTTTGTCCATTAGGTAATAATGACATTAATGGAACGTTGGAATATTCAAGCGCTGAGCTGGGTTGGTGCTGTGTTGTGCTGAGCTTGCTGGCTAAAAGTTAAGGATTTCTTTTTGGGTACCAAAATTTCATTTTTAGCAAATTCTTAAGTATTTTTATTTTTCTATTGGGTTTGTTTAACCTACCTAAGGAGTCGGCCTTGGCCTGGCTACTTGGTTAAGTTTTCCAGTTCTCTGAAAACCCATTTCAGACACTCTCCTGCATTGCTGCTCAAGAAAACAGAGCAAGTCTTTTCATTGGGTGTGTGAAAATTGGAAAATAAAGTTGAGTTGTTTTTAGAAAAATTCGAAAAGGGCCAATTTACAGATTGCGAAAGATGACGGAACACGTAACAGCAGTCTGATCAGGGAGAGTGACGTGCAAGGCTAAGAGAGGAGGACAAGGGCAGGTGTCCAACAGTCACCTCTCTGTTCCCAAAAGGGCTTACCTCTGTTCCTCTTGGGTACTTCTTCTGCTTTACTACCTTTTCTCTTGGCGAATAATATCGTTTGTTTTTCTCAAATAATTTGCGTTTCGTTGTCTTGGAAAGTATAAACCGGAAAAAAGAGAAGAAAATATCATCAACTAGGACTCAAAGTCTAAAACTTTTGACGGCGTGATTGCATTTACAGACAGCACGCACCACTCACCCATCAAACGCCTATGTTTCAGGTAAACCTTCATCACCTTGGTTGTTTGTTTGTTTGTTTTCTATTGGGTTGGGTTGCTTATGTGTGCGCTTCTGTTTGAGTTTTGGCTTGTTTTATAAATGGTATTTAGCTTTTGATCCAGTGGTCTTATAACACCTTAACCTCAATGACCTATGCTTCTCTCCCTCGTACTGATAGTGGATCATTTTTTTGCCAGGATTGTTGAACTGGGTGATCAAGAACGGGTTCAAATCATTGATCTTTGATCTGGGTTTTTGGTTTTTTGATTGGATTGGTTAATTACTGGTGAGACTTGCTTAAGAGGGTAGCAATCGATTTTGGGTTTTGAGTGGAAGATGAGTGGAGCTGTGCTTGTGGCTGTTGCTGCTGCTATTGGTAATTTATTGCAAGGATGGGACAACGCTACTATCGCAGGTAAATCTACTCTTTCAACTCGTACTTGGAGAGTATCAATAGCTTTATGTCTGCCTTTTTTCAACACTGAAAGTTGATTCTTTTAGATTGAGAACAACAGTCAACTTAGATGCTTTGAAGATTTGCTTCTTTAGCTTTGTTTCGATTGCTAATCAAAAGTTTACTTCATGCCTAGCCTTGGAATTTTCTTCATTGGTAGTCCAAAAGTTAAGAATATGTGATTTTTGCTACCGAATTACATTTGGAATGACCTTTTCTGTTTTTGCTGCAGCGTCTGTTTTGTACATAAAGAAGGAATTCAAATTAGAAAGTGATCCGGCTGTGGAAGGGCTGATAGTGGCCATGTCACTTATAGGGGCAACTTTGATTACAACATGCGCTGGAGCCATAGCAGACTGGCTAGGCCGCCGTCCTGTGCTTATAATCTCTTCTGTCCTATACTTCCTTAGTGGTATTGTAATGCTGTGGGCTCCCAATGTTTATATCCTTCTCTTGGCAAGGCTTTTAGATGGATTTGGAATTGGTTTGGTAGTTACCTTGGTTCCGCTTTATATATCTGAGACAGCACCACCTGAAATAAGGGGATCGTTGAATACCCTTCCCCAGTTCACTGGCTCAGGAGGAATGTTTTTGTCATATTGCATGGTTTTTGGGATGTCATTAACAAAGTTACCAAGCTGGAGGTTGATGCTTGGGATTCTTTCTATTCCTTCTCTTGTTTATTTTGCATTGACTGTATTTTTCTTGCCTGAGTCTCCACGATGGCTTGTAAGTAAGGGGCGGATGCTTGAGGCCAAGCACGTTTTACAGAGGCTGCGTGGCAGAGAAGATGTCTCTGGTTAGTCATTTTGTTCTGAATTTATCTATGAATAATTGGTCACTGCTGTGATACAGAAATTGATTTATTTTCTCTTTTATTTGCATGGAATGAAACTTTTTGCTCAAGTGGTTTGTGCTTTTTCTCTCTTTCTCACTTTAGACTGCATCATCTGGTGAGGGTAGCCATTTGTTAGTAGGAAAGTATGTATTATTGCTCATGGGTTATTTTTTGGGCTATTTGATCCTTTGGTCATACAGTTTGGCAGACAAAGTTGTAGAAATCAAGACTCTTTTCACTTATAGCCTTATATGGGCAGAAAAGCGTACTAAATACTGTCATGATTTGCTTCACTAAAATAACTGTTTTATTTACAATGTTGCATTGTTTGAATGGTATTGATCCTTCTAAGATCAACAGGTGAGATGGCTTTACTTGTTGAGGGTCTTGGAGTTGGGGGTGAAACATCTTTTGAGGAGTACATAATTGGCCCAGCCGATGACATTGCTGATGACCATGATTTATCTGCTGAAAAGGATAAAATCAAATTATATGGGCCTGAACGAGGTCAATCCTGGGTTGCCAGACCTGTGACTGATCAAAGCACTATTGGACTTGTGTCTCGGCATGCAAGCATGGTAAACCAAAGTGGGCTTGTTGATCCTCTCGTCTCTCTCTTTGGCAGTGTACATGAGAAGCTCCCTGATACAGGAAGCATGCGAAGTATGCTTTTCCCACACTTTGGCAGCATGTTCAGCGTGGGAGGGAATCAGGCTAGACAAGAAGAGTGGGATGAGGAGAGCCTCGCCAGAGAAGGAGATGATTACGCATCTGATGCAGTTGGTGGTGATTCTGATGACAATTTGCACAGTCCATTGATATCACGTCAGACAACGAGCCTTGAAAAGGACCTGGGCCCACCTCCCCATGGGAGCCTTGCTAGCATGAGAAACAACAGTCTCATTGGTGGAGAAGGAGCTGGTAGCACCGGGATTGGTGGTGGTTGGCAACTGGCATGGAAATGGTCTGAGAGAGAAGGCCAGGATGGACATAAGGAAGGAGGATTCAAAAGAATTTATTTGCACCAGGAGGGTGTCCCTGCATCTCGTCGTGGATCTGTTGTTTCGGTTCCTGGTGGTGATGCACCGACAGATGGTGAGTTCATCCAGGCCGCTGCTTTGGTGAGTCAACCTGCTCTTTATTCCAAAGAGCTTATGAATCAGCATCCAGTTGGACCAGCAATGATTCACCCATCTGCAGCTGCTGCAAAAGGGCCAATTTGGAGTGATCTTTTTGAACCAGGAGTCAAGCATGCTTTGGTTGTTGGGGTTGGAATGCAGATACTTCAGCAGGTAATAATTAATATTTACTGAAAAACCTCTAGAGTTGTGCTTGTGACCAATTTTACTTGGCCGGTCATGTTCGCACCTCTTATATCTTTTGAAAAAAAATGCAGTTCTCTGGTATAAACGGGGTTCTCTACTACACTCCTCAAATTCTCGAGCAGGCAGGTGTTGGAGTGCTTCTTTCAAACATGGGCATTAGTTCAGCTTCTGCATCTCTGCTTATCAGTGGAGTAACAACCTTGTTGATGCTTCCTAGTATAGCTGTTGCCATGAGGCTCATGGATATCTCTGGCAGAAGGTAAATTATTACTGTTTTTCTGGTTATATCTTCGCATCTTGGCTGAATGGACACGTTGTTTGAATTAACATGGCCCAGACAAGTTTTGGGGCTCTTTCTTTTTTACATTTATTAACTTCATATGAATATCTTGTGGATAAAATTCCCTCAGAATAAGATGTCAATCATCATTCAGAATGCTTTTAAGTCAATATTAACTTTATGTATCACAATACAGGAGTTTGCTGCTCACCACAATCCCGGTCTTGATAGCATCTCTCGTCATCCTAGTCCTTGGAAGTCTTGTGAATATGGGCAGTATTGTGAATGCATCAGTTTCGACTGTTAGTGTTGTGCTCTACTTCTGTTTCTTTGTTATGGGGTTTGGGCCAGTCCCCAACATACTCTGCGCAGAAATCTTCCCCACCCGAGTTCGAGGCCTCTGCATTGCCATATGTGCCCTCACGTTTTGGATTGGTGACATCATTGTCACCTACTCACTTCCTGTGATGCTCAAATCTGTTGGTCTTGGTGGCGTTTTTGGCATGTACGGGGTTGTGTGCGTCATAGCTTGGGTTTTTGTTTTCTTGAAAGTTCCGGAGACCAAAGGCATGCCCCTTGAAGTGATTATCGAGTTCTTCTCCGTTGGTGCAAAGCAGGCTGCAGCTGCCAAGAACAATTGACTTGGTCCTTGGTGGACTAAATTTTTTTTTGGCTGTTTTATCGTCCTGGTTTTGCTTCAAATTTACTTTTTCTTTACTTGTTTTTAATTGGTACGATCGATCCCCGTAGAAAGGCTCGTGTATAATTATCCCTCATTTGTTATACCTGATATAAATAACTTCAAGAGCTTTTGTGTACAATGTGTTCGGAATGAAATTTGTGGGATTACTTCATAGCAAAGGGCTTGTTTTACTCAATCCCAATTTCGACATGAAATTTTAAGCATGTCCAGTGATGATTCTTATCTTCTTATTCGTGTTGTGAACAGTTCTTAATCAGACTCTGGCAGGAACAATCTCAATCTCAGATAAAGTAAATTAAAAAAAATGGCATACACACGAAAAAGGCAAATTTCCTGAAAACAAATGGGGTAAAAGAACGTTTGCTAGTTTGATCCCACATATCTCCATTTCTGTATTCAACCCACCTTCTGAATGAGTTCAAACCCTCTGCTTTTGTATTTTATGTCCTGATGCCGACGAGTGAATCTTAAACGCACAAAGGAAATGAGGAACCAAGTACAAAGTTTTCAACTGAAGATCATGTTCAGTAGTTGACCATTTTGATGTAAAGATCAGCAAATTAACAGAACCAGACACAGTTCCCACATTTTTTCTGTGGTAAAAATGAAACTTGCATAGAAAATATTGTAGCCCTTCTTTAGAGCTCCAAACTCCAATCTATGAGTTCAAAATCAACTTCATTTTGGGCACCTCTCTTCCATAATAGCCACGGTGCCACGACAGGATGGGCATGAAGAATGGCACTTCAGCCACCTGTCAACACAGCTCACATGATATCCATGACCACAATAAGGCAACACCCTGATTACATCTCCGTCCACAAACTCCATCAAGCAGATTGCACATTCTGTGAATCTTGCATCACCTGCTGCATTATATGAGACTCTTGGAAGCGCCCGGAGATTCCTTTCGTGCAGGTCTTGGTCAGGCAGAGGGCCAGGAGGCTGAGGTGAGGAGAGCCTAGCTCTGGCCATGGGACGGCACAACCGTGATGCAAGCCATAATATTGGCCGGATGATCATGACAATGACAAAGGCTCCTAGGATGCTTAACAATGGAACAAAAATGACGATAATGGGAGTTTTGCCAACGCAAAACACAAACTGGAGAGCCATATCGTTAAGAGAATGATCAAATGTGAGGATTTAACAGAAAAAAAGAGACCCCATTTATCAGAATTTGGTAAACAATGTACTAACCATCGTTGACCAACCAGCACTTATAACCACCAGAGAGCTCAAATTGCTTAGCTTCACCAACTGTGAGTTCACACATCAAACATCCAATTAAAGTTTGACAGCTTTAGAGCATTTCTTAAGAATCTGCAGCAAAGATTGACACAAGAGCCAACTGCATTTACAATGTGGGACAGTAAAAATTTGGTGCTCAATCAAAACACATTCATTACACATTTTCAAATTTTCTTTTGTATACAAATGCCATGGAAACAGAAACACCTCCTTGCATTGTTTACAAAACCAGAAAGACCACTAACTTCTGCTTTCAGATTTCCAGAAAGCTCTTGTTATTCACAGAAGCAACAAACACAGAAGCAAATTTCAAGGTTCAATTGATCTCATAGGTAAAAGATCTAATACAATAGGAAATAGGGTAGAAAGTTGTATTGAAAATAACTTTCCATGTAAGAGTTGATTACAAAAACTTAAAATTCAAGCAGCAGCAGCAGAATTTTCAACTAGGAGCCATTAAAGAAGAAGACATTGGAAGTATAGAAAAAGTTAAAAAGGCTGTGACAAAACGCATTCACTACACATTTTCAATCTTGTTGTGAATACAAAATGCCACAAGAACACAAACACTCTTCTTTCTTGCATTGTTTACAACACCCATCTAAAGTCTCAACCAACCCAAAAGGAAAAAAATCAAAACTTTCATCTGGGAATGGTACTAACAAGCCTGGCACCAACCCGGTCGAGCCTACTCACACTCGCCGCCGCCTTCAACTTCCCCTCCTTCAAAAACGCCGCCACCATTCTCTCCCCAATCGCTTTCCCTCTCTCCAGATCATCTGTTACCGCCACCGCGGTGGGCCCCGCCCCGCTTATCGTACACCCGAAAGCCCCAGCCTCATTCGCCGCCTTCTTCACGGCGTCCATACCGGGAATCAGCGGAGCCCGCCGTGGCTCGACGATCTTATCACTTGACAAGGCCCTTCCCAGCCCCGGCAAGTCCCCTTGAAGCACTGCCGCCACCAGCGCCCCGGCCTGGCTCGAATTCCAGACGTGGTGGGCCATCCCCACCTCCGCCGGAAGCGCCGCCCTCATCTTCTTCGTTGGAGCTTCAAACTCTGGCGTCGCCAACACAAAGAACAGCTCTTTACCGTCCGGAAAGATCAGCGGAATCAAATCCAACGGGTCGTAGCTTCGAATCAACACAAACCCTCCCATAATCGCCGGAGCGATATTATCGGCGTGGTAACCAGAGACCTTCTCCTCCGATTTCAGCCCCGCGATCACAAGCTCATCGATCCCCAATTTTCCACCGAAAATCTCGTTGACTGCAACGGCGGCGGCGGCTGC